ATGCGCCAAGACGGCCGGGATTCGATTACCCGATTGGATGTGTTATGGTGTAAAGCTTTACGACGTATTCCGCTTTATCCCTGCATTAAAACTATCTGTGCGCTTCTTGTTGTAAAACAGAAGAAGTTCATATTATAATGTCTTATCGCTATATTATACGATATTGGGTGTAAATATCTGATAAAAAAGTTAACATATAATATTTTTTTTTAAAAACAGAGATGTTATAACAACAGTGCAAACAAATTAGTCGTCAAATCGTTAAGATATTCTGGCCCTTTGAGTTCCTTCAGGTAGGGCGTAAGAATTGTTCCTGCTGCCCCTGCAATACCTAGCGTTTGACAACACTATTTGAAAACAATAATTTGAATTTGGTATATCTTTTTTAGATGCTGTAAATCGTAAATAGACACAGTACTTTGTATAAAATGATGATAACAATCTATGATGTAACGTCACGCTACCACGATTGGTACACTACCCAAATTGGTACACGGTCAGAAAATGGTTCGAAAAGTACTTTGAAATTAAATTTGAGCATTGTCCTTTGACAGTATAACAAAGGAGATATTTGTCAGTTTTTCCACTAATACTTTTGTTTTCAAGAACATTGTAAGAGTACGTGATGTCTTCAAAGTAAACATATCAGAACACCAGTAAAAACGATGTACGTCGACGAAATTTTGCAGGATTTTAAAGAGGTTAATTATAAGCATGTTTAAATGTTGATTTCTAGTCTTTATATCTGGATGATATCAAAATGTATATATACAATTGTAGTTCAGTATGGTATTTATAAGAGCAGTATATTTTTATTTCATTTTTTCTAAGCCTGTGATATGGTGTACCAATTTGGGTACTAATTACGGCCGAAAAGCAGACGAAATGTCACTGCGAGTTAAGCGTTCTATTTTCAAAAACAAATTTCTTAGAATTGAAACTTTTTCTGAAAATGAACATTCCAGATACAAGATCTGAATGTAAATATCAATGAAAAAAATGTTAAAATTGCTCCAATTGTGGTACCGTGACGTTAGTTAAATTCTCTGTGGTCAATAGAACTTTAAAACTGAATCCCAAAACAGACCTATTTTCATAGACAGTATACATTAATACCTGTTGTTTATTGGAACAGAAATATGATGTGTAATAGAGAACTCTCTTCTATGTGACCTTATGCTAACCACTACAACTATATACTGTACATAAGGAGGGATGTATATAAGTAGGATACAGACTTAACTGGAAATATGCTCTTGGTGAATGATTTCGTTGTTACATGCATATGTTGCCAACACAACAGAAAATAAACACAGAATAAACATTGATATATTTTATTTAACCATTACGCATTATATAAATACAATATATACATACAGTTATGTCTGAAATGATCACTCGCCATCGACCACCTCACTTGGTCAAAGGGGAAAAAAGTCTATAAGAATGCTTCATATTAGTTGCCCCTTCCCGTTGTTGTGATATTTTTAAGCGTACCAGTAAGCCAGGTCAGTTTTAATATAGTGTAAACTTAAACCCTCTATCTAATACTGTTACAGCAGATGGTGAACTGTTGGCCCTTGGATGAATTAAGCAATAACTAGTACTATTTCGGGGGGGTTATACGGCATATACACAAAGTACGCACAGGTTTTTTTCGGTATACACAGTATAACCTTATAGTTATTCCTTATCTAGTTGAATTTAAAAGGACAGACAACAGTTTTCGGTTCATATTTTAAGTTTTCGGTTCATAGTTTATGAACATGATTCAGTTCTGATAAAAAAAAAGAGATAAATTGCCCAAACAACAATGTGCTGTAACTTCATGCACAAGTAACATCGACCTATTAAAAGTTATAATCAAAATAAACCGTGCCAAACACAGCGGTATACGACGTCATCACACTTTGTATTGTCTCTTTATACAGCATAACTTAAAACGTTTATCAATGAATGAAAAGCCGACCAAATATATATATATTTTATAAGTGAAGGTTAATTGTGGTAAGCTGATACACATGCTAGATAACAAAAGGGGACATAAAATAGTCAGTAAAGCTATTACAAGTTGATTTGCGGTACATCGCTTCAAAATAATCTTCTCAAATATGATCCAACTTGCTGATATAATATTGCAAAGATTAATAGAATCCATCACTCTCGTTTGATGTACTGTCACACAAAATATCTTAAATAAACTTAAATAAGTTTGCAAACTAAACAATCTTTTGCCGAGGGTTGAAATTGTTACCCTTTTTTATCGGCAAAATGATATATAAATGTTGAACCAAACTCATCGCGCCACCATTCAGATCACATGAAGCGTGATAAAGTTGATGACGCGAACCGAACGCGTATAATGGTTGTATTTGGTTAACCTATCTGTGATTATATTTCAACAACCGGTTGTGCTATTCAAGTTTATTCGCTTTAACCAGGCCATCATTGACAATTGTCGTAATAAGTAGGTAGGTAAACTTTAAATTTCATAGGAAATAAGATGTTAATCTCATATGACAAGGAATAAGGTATTACATCTACTATTAATAACAGTAAGAAACGGATACTGTACTCAGTGATGTAGGTCATAGATGCACGTTATCCACGGATGATTGGTCACCTCAAAAAGCATCTCATTACATTACCATTACCTTGACACAGGGGCATGACTCCCTACCTAATCACGTTATACTGACGAGCGGTTTAACAGTCCTCACCGACATCTACAAAGCTGAACGACAAGCACAGAGCGGGAGGTGACAATTTAATGACTTATCGGTGAGAGGATTGGACAAATAACATCCCTGCCATGGGCGAGTCTTCAACAGCCAAGCGAACAATTTACAAGTAAAGCGCTGGGAAACGAAAGAAACCCCAAAAAGGGCGGGGATAATAGGATCCGAAATATTACAATGTGATCAGTAGAATTAACTCGGTCGCTTGTCTGACCTCAAGTAACGGACACGAAAGAAACTTTCCTATTCCGTAGGGGGCTCCGACACTAGCCACTCTTTATGAAAACATTACCTGCGACGCTCAAACTTTTTAGACGTAATATTAAAACCGTATGTGATTCAATCATTTATTTACAAAGATAGGATTCCACACAGAAGAATATTTGTTAATAATAGAACATGAAAATCGAATAAATTTTTGTTACTTGTATGAAAATATGAGTGGAAATGACTGGCATGCATATCATATGCACTGCAAAGTAGTCCATGTCATCTGTAGGATTTGGTCCTTTAACAAAACAAAGACAATCAAACAAACAAATATATATAAATAAATATACAAAAACTACACAAATGGAATATTTAAATTTGTTAGAATTATATTAATTTTTACCGGTCAGCATTAATCACATAAATCGCAAAGGATTCCTTTGTTCGTATTGGTATAGAGGAAGTACTCAATTTTTAGGAAACAGTGATAAAAACGATTAAATAGGTGTTTTATTGTTTTCTTCTAAGGGCACAAACATTTCTAAACCATACATGGTCTCACTTCATTACATTTTATAAAGGCAGATATTTAAACATTTAACCCCCAATACACAACACTTATCACGTACATTCAGTTAATGCTAGTACGAACAACAGTCTACTATATTTGTTCGAGGTGTTTGAACTAATGCAATGTACTAATGTATGAAGTTGTAGGCTTTCCAAGGATATTTACTTCCGACTCCTCGCACTGTATTTCGCCCCACGGTAAGAAGTATACAACGAGTCGAAGTCAAAAGAACTTCCCGTAATGACAAAACAGTTTACAAAACTTACGGTACAATAAATTGTAGGTGGTTTGCATTGCCACTTTAAACGCTATTATCCGTCTCTGGAGCGGACAAGAGTTGATGATACAATGTAATTGAACTATGGATTGGTTGGAGTAAACTTGTTTATACAAAAATGTCTTTAAATAAGATAAAAATAACGGATTTCTAATGTTAGTGGAAATAAGGTATCATGATCTCATACAAATAATAGTTTCTCTAAATAGAACATGTTATAAGGTAATTATACATTGACTGTAAATGTTATGGTTAATTTAGAGATATTGAGAAGCATCATTCTAGACTCCTATATTTTGTAAATTTACAACTACTTTCCCCATCCTACAACTAAAGTATTACTGTTTCGTTATTATAAATTATATGCAAATTATGGAGATTCCTGTAATTTTCCAACTCGCTTTTAAACTCAAATCTGCTGAGCTTTTTACCTTAAATATTTTAACTCTACTTCATATGATAAGGCAAGCCAATCGGATGCTTCCCCTGGCGCTTCATATAGGTTGGGATGGGAAGGGGAGGGTGTACCTACTAATCAGGCACATCTAGCTTCGATCCATTATTTCGCTCTGCCGATAAAAATGAGTAAAAACAGCCCACGACATTGTACAGAATAAAAAAATACCATGATTTTTTTTTATAAAGTACTGAAATGAAAATAGAGGAAGTCACTGCCTTTTGATTTATGTCGTTTGATTAAATCTTAGGAAGCAGAGTACAGTAGAAATGGCTTGATCCTTAAAATAAAGGGCATGTTTCAGATAAACATGGATAGCGAATTCATCCTGCACAACACACCTACATATTTCTATATAATTTTGAACTACATTTTTAATACATTTTTTTAGAAGAATTTAGTTTTTTCAAAAAGTGATTTCCCCAGATTTGGTACTTGTGAAAACCATGGTTACATGTACCACATCGAAAAACGCCAAAAAAAACAAAACATGATTTTTAACCCAAAATTTGACCCACGCAAGAAGTTTTTTTTTTAAAACCTGTCTTAAATTAAATATCACCTACTCGGTAACAGAAATACTCACGTTTTAGCATTGGTCGTTCAACTGGATTTTTCACAATATTTACACATGTGCTGAGTACAAAAATAGACTACATGAAAAGCTAGCTTTTGTTTTGTAGACACAGATTTGCAAATGGCCAAAAATATAGTCTCAAACCAAATTCGACTTTTTTTTAAATGTGAAGCCCACATAGTTCATTTCAGCATGTATATGCCAATTTTAGTGCTGATTTTTCATTTTATTTTGATGCATGTAATAGTACATGGGTTATTCGTTACCCATGGCCACCGTACGCTACTATACACTGCTACCTTAAATAATTTTCGTAGACGTACATTGCCATACACAGTATTGTATTAAAAACCCATTTCATTTTCCTTAAGATATATACATCCTTTGCTGTAGACGTTCGTTGCACTTATAACAAAAATAGAATATCAAATGTAATTCACATTAGGATTATCTGATTATGATTATCGAAGTATATAAAGGTATAAATGAACTCTGTTATAATTAGTTGTTGTTGTCAATAGTCTCACATGTCGACCTCCTCACAGTATCACTGATTTGTGTCAACACGTTAAAGCTAGCAGCAAAGAATATGTAGGAAGAGTTGTATGCGATTTCGTTTAACTGAGCCGTATTTATTCCAGTACCTATTCCCACACAAGCCACAAGAACGCCGTCATTCCTGAGTGTGCTGGCAATTGTAGCCGAATTATCGAAGGACTTTCCATCAGTCATCAGAATTACAACCTTTTCCGAGTCAGCTCTCGCCCCATTTGCAGCGGCAAGTGCATTATCCCTGACGTACTGCAAACCCTTGGCTATATATGTCCCCGCGTTGGTGTATACGATTGAATCTATAGCTGGATTCAGCGTTAATGCTCCATAATGTTCATTGAGCCAAAATTCATATCTAGGAACTGTGGCAAATGTAACGATACCAACTTGAATGGCGTTTGGGCCTAACAGAAGGTTTGCTGTGATGTTTTTAATGAAGAATTTCATTAATATAAAATTAGATGATCCGACACTTCCAGAGGCGTCCAGGAGGAATACAACGTCAGTCTTCGTATTGCTGCATTCTGGAAAACAACATTCTTATATAGAATACCTGGTTTATAATTTAGTTTTTAAATGAAATTAAAAATAAATACCTCTAATATATACCAGAACATTTATGATTACGGAGTTGTATTTTGCTACTTCAACTATGATTATATGGTTAACGAAAAGAAAAGAAAAACGAATACCATACATCGAATGTTCTATGCGTGATATTCATTATGAGGTGTTATATCGGTATTATGTTCAGGAATTTGCAAACATCTTTTGTTGTTATAGTTACCAGAACATATTTATACAGAAAAGACAATCATAGAACATGGTTAATAGCAGTTAGTCAAATATGACATTCAGTTCAGAACAAATTCCATAACTACACCATTCAGCGTGTGTGAGGTGTAATTATAATGTTGCTGCCGTCAACATATTAATTGTCATAAATAAGTCGCCGGCTGGGATTTGGGTCTTTAACCTCTAGCCAATAAAAAGGGAGAAAAACGGGGATTCCGACAGATGTCATGTTTCTCTTTTATTTCTGTTTCGCGCGAAAACGGAAATCTCATTTACTATATAAGAATGAAAAATATTACTTCTATTATTCCCAAAACATATATATATTATATACCCACAGAAACTACAAGACTATGTCTTAATTATTCAAACAATATTATACACTTTAGATATCAATAAATAATCAAATCGATTTAAAAATCGAAGCGACAGGGATTTACACGTTTTCTGCTGATCACACTTCCGATACATTCGCTAAGGTAGATGACAAACACGGTGGCTGTGTTTAAACTTGTGACATGTAGGCTGTGTTTAAACTTGTGACATGTAGCTTAAAGTATATGTTTGTGATAGTGCGCTAGCTGCAGAAATAGAGTATTAACTGTCACTTCTTTCTCGTTTCTTCGGCTAGTAATCGTGCTTACTGTTGGCCAGGTTCAGACCTGTGGGACAAGGGGTGCATACTATATATAGCTAACTTACATAAAATATCATTCTATGAAAATCAAATTTGAATTTACCTTCTTGTATGGCTCAAAATATTTGTATTTTATGTCCAACTTGTTTTTCTTACATGTATGCAGATGAAGTGGGATTACCACATCCTGATATGTTACAAGTGGAAGAGATGACTTTTCTCAAATAAACTTTCCTGGCAGGGACACCTATATATCCGCCCATCTGAAATTCTCCTGAGTGTGTCAGTAAGTAATACAGTTGAATTATAAATGTTATGATATTATCGTCCAAATATGCTCCAGTCAATCAATTGGGTCATTATCAATTTTTCCATGAATAATTATTATTCAAGTATTGGAATTATTTCAATTTGAAATATTTTATTTGTGAAATTCTGAAACTATGTATAGGCCTTGCCAAATATATATCCGGCTTATTTGATGCACTGTGCCATATTTAAAACAAAGTCATTCCATTAATTTGTCCCTATTTGATAAAAGAAAACAAATTCTCCACTAATTTTTCATGTTTTGAGGTGTACAATTTAATTTTCACAAACTACCCTTCAAGTTGATTTTAAAACATTCTACTAGCCCATCCTATCTTTTCATAGTTAATATTGGACATTTTCAGTAGCCCAATATTAAATCTACCAGCCCCGAGTGTTTAAATAGTTGATAGGTACAGTATCACACACCCCTGTCAGAGAAATTTAATATGTATATACGTTTGGGAAAAAAAATACTGTCATGATACTTAAAAACCTAAAAAACAGACAACCAATCTAGTCAATTTTTTATCAATTTCTTTTCAAAGAATGTGTAAAGAATGCATTTTTTATATAACTCTTTTTCTTTACATTAAAGCTGTATATTTTATATATTGTATTGCATACACAATCACCTTGTATGTACCAGGTAGATAATAATTAATAATAATAATTCGCGTTCTTATATACGCTTTATCACAATCTAGCTTGTAGGTCGTCTCAAAGCGGTTCTCAAATTAATATCCGTGGTTATTGGGCCTTTGCAACCAGCCAATATCTTTCTCAACTGCCTTGGGAGCACATTTACAGACTGGAACAAGCGGAGTAAAGTATCTTGCTCAAATATACAACACAGTACCGTGCCGCGAGTCGAACCCGCCAACCTTTGGTCATAAGACCGGCGTCCTACCACTAGACTACCGTGCCTCCGCTATATAATGCATAAAATTTCTGTTGATACTACATGGAATTAAATGTTCATTTTTGGGTCCTAAAGGTGAATCCTGCACTTGACGGGGAGGAGACCGATATGATACTAGTAATGAGAGGGAAAGTCATTCCTGAAGGTCTTCCAGTGGCGTTAGAGACTAACGGATCGTCACCATGTTGTCAACATATGCCTGCTACCTCTACCAAAATACTTCTAAGTACCTTCCCTGCCTACTTCTAGATATAATTTAGCTTATACTGGTGATCTATCCAAACAAATGAATGATGACAAACTGTGCTTGAAATTTACTTTTCTGGCTAATAGCGCATGTCAATGACTTTTCAGCCCGTTTGTACTGGCCTAAGGACTGTTTTTCTGTAGCTGTGCAAGTTTTACATTTTCCTTGGCTAATACAATGATGGGAAAATGAACAAAACAGAACTGTTATTTATTATCTACAAAAACAAAACAGTAATGAAAACAGGAATAACATATTATGTACCTAACATAAAATGCCTGTTTTATTTTCTGAAAATGATGTTTTACAATTTATTTTATTTTCTAGATTTATTTTCAATTTTGCATCATAGGAAATCATCTCTTCAATTCATTAAAAACTATATGAACTGGGCTTGGCTGACATTCAAAGTAGCGACGTAAAAGACAGTAACCCCGCTTGCAACGTCAAAACTCGCAAAACTTAATTTCATATACGGCCATTCTAGAACTCGCACCAATTAATTTCATGTACGCGATGGTCATTTCAAAGTGGTATAGATTAGTGAATACTGATTCAAGTTTTTGTTGTAAACATATTTTTTTCACAGCTATAACCGGAAGAAAACTTTACAAATGTTAGTCTATAAAGTTCAAAGTAGAACAGTGTAATTTGTCCCATGCTCATATGGAACCCTATTTGTTTTACATTTCAGTATTTGTGTATGACTTAATGACATACTTAATTATTACCCTTTAAAAGCATGCATAAACCTCCGGAGTGAAGCCAGAAATAAGCAGTTAAAATTACTATACATATATTACCCGCCGGTTACGTTTGAATCAACTTAACATTAGCGTCGGAAATAATGACGTTGTGTGCGACGTCAGAAGTCGTATAGCATACTATGTATGACGTTTATTTCAAGTGGCGTCAAATCGTCAAAAATTGACCGACTGACATAATATTTATATCATTTTGACAAGGAATGTCTCTAGATTTTGAAAACATAAAGTCACAAAATAGATTGTTTACGACTTAAGGACCCTAATCCCAACCGGCGGCTCATTTTACACTTATATTTTAACGTAAAACACATACTGGTACATTAAAATTAAAATAAGTAATGTTGGAAGCTGCTTGTTGTCCTTCTAGACTCTTTTAAACATATCAAGCTGATTTAGTAGGACTTACTGTGGAGAAATGGTTACTAACCTAAATGAAAGCATAAGTTCAAGAAAAGTTCATAGAATTTCATCTTTTAACTTTTAACAAAAAAAAATACCATTTGAAAAAAAAACAAATCCTCGTACAAAAGTATTATATCATAATCAAACATTTAACCAAAATCTTTAATGATATAAATGTATTACCCTTAGCCCTTATTTTATAGTCAACCAGATACAAATATATGTTGTTGAGCGATATTAAAAAAATAAGCGTGAATATGACATGTCTTGCTTTTGTTTAGTACGAAAAGCAAATATTGAATGTTAATACAAACTTATGGCAAAGCAGGACCTAATACAATAGATAATAAACATAATGTTTAAATTTAATCAAGAAAACACACAATTTAAGACGTTTTTACCACAAACGCAAGACAAAAAGAATACTTTTAACCAATTTACTTATTCATGGTTTTTTTTTCTATTGTTTTCTAATGTAGATAATATTACTTACCATACTCATTTCCAGGATCTGAAGACAAAAAAATAAAACAAAAAGTTAATTTAAATATTACAAAACAGGAAACTCTAAAACACTTTCACTGATATGGCAAATGAAATGAATGAGGTTATATCGAGGTTTTAGGATTATCTTAATTTAAGTCATGCGCCATTTTATGACAGTAGCTGAAGTGTGACTTATAATGTTAACTTACATGAACATTTTCTGTGTATGACTAGTCAAAAATCGGCACACGGCGTAAAAATGATATTAGTGCTGAAACATTTCCTGCATTTTCCACATCAGTACTATTTCAAGTTCCTCGGACCCTTCGATTTCAAAGGGCAACACATAGCACCGAGATAACCGTGCTTGTTTGTTTCCAACAGTAATTGCTAAGCTTGTTTTGAACACAGAATTCGTGTAATAGCTGCAACCTTAAATGCATCAGGGTAACTGCCTGGAACTTTCTTAAGAGAACACCAGAAAGACGTTGAATCCATGAAACAACAAGTCTACACTAGAAATACAAGGACATTGGAGAGACAAAACAATAAATCAGCCAATATATACCAAGTACACATACAAAACTACTTCACGGACTGAAACACACTATAAGACACTTGAAAGGATGATAACTTGAAAGGGAGGAAAATCAAAGATTCTATCCGGTTAAGAAGGGAAGAAGAATCGTTGGACAGAGACGAGGGGGCGAGGCACCAGCTGAAACATGTGTATGACTCCATTTTAACATCAGCTCTAGGGTGGAAGGGGTAAATGTGCTACTACAGTGTACTACAGACATTTGGGCGAAATGTCTTTAGGACTTTTGACAGCTGACTTTACTGATTCGGCACCCTATGGCTTAGTGAGTTGTTTTCAGCTCGAGAGACCTGTCATTTGCACTCTTTTCTTACCAAAGGCAACAGACGTTTTCAAAAGCGCGCTAAATAAGTTTTCAATTATGTTTGTGTTCAAAACAAACTTGACATTTGCATGTAGGTGTCACCATAAGATAGCCAAGGCGTCCATTAGCTTCTCTCTCATTAATGGATTAAACAAGTTTAAATATACAAAATTATCAGAAATGTCACCAATGTTTGTATTATTGTTTACTACAATGCAGTGGAATTGGCCATTTTTACTAATTTCGAAGCACTAAATGAATCACTATTTTTATTCATTTCAACCAGTGTAAATAACAAGGCATTTTGAACTTTACAAATGTCAGCCTTGCTCTTTAATCATGTTAACAGAACAGAGACCTTCGTTAAATAAACATATACTGGAAAGTGATTGGCACCGATATATATAAATCAAAACCCTGTAATTGGTACGCACAACTAACCCAGTATTTGTTTATGATACGGCAGTGGTTGTTTGTTTTGTCGAATGATGTCTATATGTAACATACCAATAATAACATCTGTGACAATGTTGTTGGTGTCTAAGTCAATCAGGTCACTGCTGGTAAGATCATTGGCAACCGTAGGGAGCGTGTCGACAAATGCAGAAACGATGTCGGTCGGTGTCAGTTTTGTTGTGATGACATTGCCGGAGCTATCGGTGAGAACCACTTGGACAACTATATGCATCACAAAAATGACATTGACACTCCCCTGCCTGAAAATAAACATAGATATAAACAATAAACAATAATGTATTGATGTCTTTTTCCAACCATAAAGACAAGATATGACTGTTTTATTCAACTTTATATTGAAAAATGATAAATAACAATTATTTCCGTTTCTTTGACGGTGCCATTTATTACTAACATATTATCAAACGGAAAAAAGAAAACGATTTTGATTATGATAGAATGACTGACCCCAAGAACAGTAACCGAACCTATATATATACATGACAAAAAGGGATTAAATGTCCATGTGAAGGAAGTAAATATAGAAAAAAATAAGATTAACGACCGACTAAAAAACTAGCTGCTTTCACCCTTCACAGGGCTCTTCAAGTTTATTCAACGTGTATATACATGTGTATTCATAGCGCCTGCAGATGCACATGACAAAACTTACTCGAGTCCAGTGACTTTGCTTCTCTTGTAGTTATCCTTGATATTGCTTCTCTCGTATACATAGTCAGTCTGCAAAGATACATAAATTTAACAGCATAAATGCCTTTCTACTATCACACCCGACACGCAGGACAGAAACCACATCAACAAGAACCATATAAAAAAACAATTTAAAAACTAAAATATCATTAACCAAATGAAGCAAATCAAAATGCTCCAAAAGAGACGGTTTGGTTAGCCACTTGTGGTATGTACCACTTTTGATCTCCCCTTGAATTCAATTTGAGTCTGATGAGTTAACACAGATCAGTTACGCAATACATTAGTGTTACAGTATACACTTACGTCATTTTCTATTTTCTCTGCAAAGCTCTTGAATTCAGGACTGTTTTTGTCGCCGTAGGCAGGGATCCATGTAGTATTTTGCAAATGAAACTGAGTGTTGAAAGCTAAAAGAAAGTGTAATTAGTTTGTTGATAATGAATACGCAGCATATTAGTTTGCTTTAGAGTATTACTATTGATATATCAGTTTTTAATTTAATTATCGTGTGATTGATATCATTTAGGTATCGATGTGTATTTACTAGGCTAGTGACTCTTTCAGCATTACACTTCATGTTGAAAGTAGAAAATCGTACATCAATTAACGAAATAGTTTGAATAGTGTTTAAATATTTAATAGAAGAATGTAAAAAACATAATGGCATTAGTTTCGAAACACATGATTACTCATTATTACTTTTAAGACTAACAAAAATAAAGAAATTGCATTTGTAAATGTATATTACCTGCAAAGTCCACTACCATATCGATGGAAGTGGTGCTTTGGTAGGATGATAGTTTGACATTAGTGGCGACGCAGGCGAATTCTGTTCCATTCTGGACCTTCTCAGCGATGAAACCGTAGCTTTTGGTTATGGATTGGTAACACATGTCATTGAAATCACCAACAGTTACTATGGGGACTTCTGTGGTCCTGATAAAGTCCGAAGTATTACCAGATCGTACATGGAGGTGGAGATCCCCGCCTTCTGTAGCTACTCTACCGGAACATCTCATCTCGTACCTGTCACCCTCATCAACTGTGCCGTTACCTTCAAGTGTTACGTTGCTGGCGATATCTATACATAAAAATAATGTACACGAAAAATACATTGATAGTATTTGATACATCGTAAATGGATGTTTAACATATTTGCTTTAACTTTTCATATAGTTATCGGACATAATATATTTACAATGCAGAGTGGTTAGTTGGTTAATTATCCGGGTTTAACATCAAATCAACTGCTTAGGTCATTTAAGGACGTGTCTGAATGTGTGTTTTGTATGTGTGCAAGTGTGCCGGAGACAGAGTATGTTGGTGTAATTGCCTCTTTGTGATAGCGCAGATCTTATTCCGACTGTATAGTGCCATCTCACTAAAATATCATGTCATTGACATCCATCGCAGCATTCCGCCCGGTTACATTATACTGACGACAGATGGGCCAGTTGTTGTCATTCCCCTAAATGCTGTCCTAAATGCTAACGTTAAGCAGGAAACAAACTGCAATTGTAAGGTATGGGTACAGCTATCACTGCCTACCTCACCTAGGCGAACGTTCACTATTTCAGCAAAATATAAGGTATTGCTAAGCAATACTCTAAAAAAATTAAAACAATCGGTTAGAGGAGAGAAATATGAACATCCCATATATTGCGATGGATTCAGCAGATTCACTTTGGTAGCTTTCGTGTCCCAAAAGTAGAGGCCAAAACTAAAAATAAAAATTTGCAGGAAGTTCCCACATTATTCGCGGAATTATTGAGGGAATTATATGATAGCAATCGTATGTCTATGATGTTATATCAAACACAATTGACTGTTTTCAAAGTTTAGCTAAATTAACCTATTGTATGGTAACACTGCTCTCGACAAGCTTCCCAAACAAAATATGAACAAAGTAAATATTGTTTTCGGACTAATATATAACGCAAATCATGTACACATTTCAGGTTAATGTTAACATATACTTGAGGCATAACATATACTACATGCGGTAACGTTTTGCAAGTATACATCAATCTTTGTGATCTTACCTGTAATTATAACTGTTGCTGTATTATTGATGACGATGATTCCGATGTCTGTCAATGTACACACGTAACTCCCCCTAGCGTAACAGTGTGTCGTGGTATTAAGAAACAGCACGTTAAGTAGCATATCTGGACTACTTTGTTGAAGTCTAGCTGTATAAGAACTGTTGCCCTGTTGAATAGTTCCGTTTGAGAAGGCTGTCACGTGGATGTCATTATTGTTCACTGATACTATACTGAAGTTATCCCATCCGGACGGAGCGTACCGTACGTTACAGCTAATAGTGATCTCTTCCTCAGGTGTTGTGATAGAATCATTCATTTCCATTTCTTAAATGAAAAAATATATATATAATCATTATAAAAAAATGATAAGTTGTAGAAATTACTTAATTTGACAAATCTTAATAACAATACAAAGAAAGGGAAAAGTAACAGAAGTTTCCCAAAAATAGTTTTGAGCTATCATTTCTTGACATACTTCCTTTAAATTTAAATTGTTATTCTGACGTGTAGCATCACTGTTTTACTGATACGTAACTAACTTGCTCACAACACTCTCTTCAACGAATACAGGTAAAGACTTACATTCCTATTCAAGAATGAGGTATTAGTTAAAAACATCTATGTCTGCCTATATTTGAACATTTACATTTGGATTTTCCAGTAATTTCAGCACACTACCGAAGTGTAACTAAACGGTAATTATAACCTTAATCAATATAATTAGGCAAAATAAGAGTAATAGACATGTTTACATAGTAAACCTTTAAAAACACGGAATAAAACAAGGTTTTCCAGAGGATGGTCCGAAACTAACAGGGATCACCCAATGACTATTCTAACGTCGTTAGCCCGCAAGATCCGGTTACTAGTCAACATTTCACCGCCACCATATGATATACTACTATAACTGTTGGATTGATATATTTATAAAATGTGAAATGAGTTCAAGTAATATGATGAGATATAGCTGGCATGACGTCAACTTACTAGCATACTCAAACAAACGAACTATATAAACAGAATATGTAAAATACATTTACCAGCAACTCGTACAACAATTGACTGCCTTGTAGACATCGATGTTCCACTCGAAGTATTCAAAGCCTCACACCTCAACTCCGTGCCGTTATCAGTTCTGTCGGCAATGAACGTGTAACTCTTTGTTGTTTGGAGGTAGCAAGACTCGGTAACACCATCAATCGTAACTAGAGGATTTACAGATGACTTTGTAAATGACGTGGCGTTTGTGGTCCTAGTGTACAGGTCTAGTGTACTTGACGGCGGTGCCAGATCCCCGGTACAGTTCACTACATATCTGTCACCTTCATTCCAAGTGGTGTTTCCAACAATTACAACATGCTCCGCAGTATCTACAACTAGATATCATTAGAATGTTTACACATCAACATAAAATAATTGTTTGTCTATTTTATTTCGTGTAGATCAAAACAATATCATATCGTCGGACATTGCCGAGTATACCTTTTGAGATTTGAGGCATTTGATAAACAAATTTAACTTTCTCAACAGTTCGTATACTACGTATATCAACAGGTCACACAAGGTCACAAGTAAAATCAAATATTATCATCGACCTGATTGACTAATTGTCAAAACTGTTTAATGGGAAAAAATGTACATTGTGTCGAATAATGAAACGGCTATCTCTGATATATCCATGTATACTCTAGTAAAGGCATACTTTATTAATGTTACATGTATTAACCTAATACTGATGTTATGTCTACTATTTCTAATACTCCAATCGAACTGACAACAGCTTAATGGATTTGCATCCAACAGCGTCTCGTCAACTACTGGTATGTCGTTTTACTGAAATGTCAACTGACCACGTTTCTTATCATCTTAATACTATACAGGTAAAGGCATTTGTAATTAAATACCGGTGAGTAGTAACTTTTCCCTATAGGGGCCTCTTTTTCATTCGGAACTTCTACCCTTTATCAGCTCTAATGTGATCGGCGTACGGAATATATTTCCTCTCAAACACATATAGTGATATGAAAAATTATTTATCGTCTATATAACAAATTCGGGGAGACTTTTAGTCCCAGTATAAATCAACCATAATGAGTAATTACTTCGACTTTGAAATATCAATAAATTATACATGTAACAGTAAGTTTGATATATGAAATTATTGTCTGCTTTAAACATTACAGGTTCCTCAGACCTCTATTAACATTAAGTGGGAAATCCCTTTCTAGTGGCGTCAAACCAGAAACAAGTCTAAATTTAGTTACATTTGTTGATAAAAAACTCATAAATATAAAAATAAAGAAGTTCATTTTAACACATAATTGTTTAAAATAGCATAAGCCACCACCACAGTTCACTACAATATCATTATCATTTATATTTTCGTCGCATTCATGCTTCTTTCCTCAAAATTCACTAAAAAAACCTCTGTTGATTATATAACAAACTCTTTACCAGAAAGCTACATGTAATAAAAATGTATTATAATGAAAACATCTTTGCAATATTTAGCAAAGTTAATAGTTTGCATTTTTCCAAACTGTTATACAATGTACCTGGAATGGAAACGTTTTCTGTCGTCTCCACAATGATGTCGTCACTATCGCTATTGAGCAAACACCGGTAGTTGCTCCTTCCAAAACAATGTTTTGTTGTGTTGGGAAATAATAAACTTATTGACATGTTTCTATCGCTATGTTGGAAGGTCAGTTGGTACGAGTTGTTGTCCTTTTGTGTTGTTCCGTTGACATAACCAACAGCGACAATACCAGCACTGACGTCAGACGATATTAGTTTAACCTCATTCCAGGTATTAGGTGCGTATTGAACGTTGCACTCAATGAGTAAATCACCATGAGGCGACGTGAGCGAGCTACCGAGTTGTATATCTGTAAAAGAAAGATGACAATATAAAAACTCAATATAAAAAAACATATTGTTGTGTCACAATAAATTGGTTTAAGAATATAGTATCATCTAAGTACTTTGACAATTTCTTAAGATATTAAATACAATTGATTCCAATTTCATCGCATGATTAATGAGTATTTCGGTTACACGCCGAAGTTTGAATTAGATAAGAATGATAAAAAATATTGACATTTACCAGAAACTGTTACAGAAACCGTTCGTGAACCAGATGTCGTCCGTGATCCTGGCGAAGAGTTAAGTGCCTCACATCTCATCTCTGTGCCATTATCATTCATGTTGGCTATCAGAGTGTAACTCTTTGTTGTTTGGAGGTAGCAGGACTGAGTTACAACACCGCTCGTTAATAGGGGATTTGCCGAAGATTTCGTAAATGACGTAGCGTTGGCGGTTCTAGCATACAGGTCGAGTGTACTTGATGGCGGAGCCAGATCCCCGGTACAGTTCACAACATATCTGTCACCTTCGTTCAACATGGTGTTGCCAACAATTTCAAGATTTTCTGCTGCATCTACAAAATGGAAGTTTAAATTCACAGTTTGCAAACAGTTTTGATCGATATGGGATTTTACCAAGGTACAGTGTATAACATATTTGTCTAAGACGTACTTTCATTTATTTTCCTCTTTAGAGAAAATGTGTCCTTTATCTAATGTGAGATGTTCATCGAAAATAATATTCTTAATTAAAGATGTTCAATTCATCAGATGATATGTATATCATAAGATGTGTTTTCATTTCCCCATTCAGGGGCAATTCATTTTGACTCATTAAACGGCATCAGACATTTTATTTGGAATTGAAAATAGCAATGTTAAAAGACTCATCACAACGATTAGACTTAAAAGTCAAAAGGACAATTAATATAACGAGCCCTGAGGAATAATTACGAATTCGGCAAAAATGTTACCTGGAATAGAGATATATTGTGTTGTTTCCGCAAAGGTGTCGTCATTCACATAGAGTAAACATGTGTAGTTCCTTCTTGCGAAACAATGTTTCGTTTTGTTTGGAAAAAGAAGACTTATTGATATGTTACTGTCGACAGGTAGAAAGGATAGTTGGTAAGAGTTGTTGTCCTCTTTTGTTGTACCATTAGCATAACCAACAGCTACAATCCCAGAACTGACGTCAGAGGAGATAAGCTTGATCTTATTCCAGGTATTGGGTGCATATTGAACGTTGCACTCAATGAGTAAATCACCATAAGGAGATGTGAGCGAGCTACCGAGTTGTATTTCTGTGAAAGAAAGATGATAATATAAAAACTCAATATAACAAGCATATTGTTGTGTCACAATAAATTGGTTTAAGAATATAGTATCATCTAAGTACTTTGACAATTTCTTAAGATATTAAATACAATTGATTCCAATTTCATCGCATGATTAAGGAGTATTTCGGTAACACGCCGAAGTTTGAATTAGATAAGAATGATAAAAAATATTGACATTTACCAGAACCTGTTACAGAAACCGTTCGTGAACCAGATGTCGTCCGTGATCCTGGCGAAGAGTTAAGTGCCTCACATCTCATCTCTGTGCCATTATCATTCATGTTGGCTATCAGAGTGTAGCTCTTTGTTGTTTGGAGGTAGCAGGACTGAGTTACATCACCGCTCGTTAATAGGGGATTTACTGAAGATTTCGTAAATGACGTAGCGTTGGCGGTTCTAGTATACAGGTCGAGTGTACTTGATGGCGGAGCCAGATCCCCAGTACAGTTCACTACATATCTGTCACCTTCGTTAATCGTTGGAATTCCAACAATTTCAAGATTTTCTGCTGCATCTGCAACTGATTGCACACAGTGTTGTTTTCATTATATTAGAATATATTTTATAATGGCTTATTGACACTTGTAATATACTATTAGGTCTTGCTCTTATTCATTTCTCTGAAATCATCACAGTGTCTGTTTTACACAAAGAAAACAAAATAAGATTTCATGTCTATTGCTCTGTTTAAAGGTATAACCTACTGTATAGTAAACTACAATATTGTTTTCTTTTGGTTGAGGACGGTTAGTGGTTCGTGTCGTTATATTTAATGTCACTTTTTATATGAGTTTGTTTGGGATCTATCGTGCTTCAAATAGCTAAGGTCATATAATAGACGTGTGCATTGGGGGACATCGTCGAACCGAAAGAGTAAGGGGGCGAAGACTAGTATATCAGATACTTGTTTTAGTAGTATATCAGATAAATGTTTTACTAGTATATCAGATAAATGTTTAACTAGTATATCAGATACTTGTTTTAGTAGTATATCAGATAAATGATTTACTAGTATATCAGATACCTGCTTTACTAGTATATCAGATATTTGTTTTACTAGTATATCATATAAATGTTTTACTAGTATATCATATAAATGTTTTACTAGTATATCAGATACATGTTTTACTAAGATATCAGATAAATGTTTTACTAGTATATCAGATACATGTTTTACTAGTATATCAGATA